ATAATGCAGGTGGGGGGGGGTAAATACTGCAGGGAAGCGGGCTGAATAATGCCGGTAAGGGGTGTGAATACTGCAGGTAAGGGGGGTGAATACTGCAGGTAAGGGGGGTGAATAATGCCGGTATGGGGGTAAATACTGCAGCCAAGGCTGATTTCTTCTTATAACCCCCGTGCTGGGAGAGTATATAAAGGAGTCGGCCTCTAGGTGATTGGTCGGCCTTCCTTCTAGCTTTTTCCTGGTTCCCCTTCATATGGGTGCATGGTTCGGAAGTGGTGACCCTTACTGCTGTTCAGTGAGCTCGTACTACTACCTCTTGTTACAAGCTGAATCAATGTTGAGATACTTAACCCTGCTTGACCGATTTGCTAGTGAATAACCTCCACCTGCTGGTATTTCCTGTCCCGCTCCTTCCCTGACAGCAGCCCGATTTGTGGGCGGCTCTCGTTGTGTAGCTCAAGCAGGGATCTGTTTTTATGACCTCCTCTGCCGCGGCCGATCATCTCAGGCGCCCTGATGACATTAGCGTTTTCTCTAGCAAGCAATACAGGGAAGTTTCCCGCCACACTCCAAGCTCAGGCTCAGCTCACTTGCCTCCACCCCTCCTACTATAAGCCTGCCCGTTGTATACGTTTCACGGGCACTTGCAGTGACACGCATACGTAGTGACTCGGTAGTAGTAGTCTCTCAGCAAAGCATCTGATGCCGGAGGAATGAGCTGTCAATCAAAACTAGTTCATCGTCTTCTACTGAGCTGCGAGGTCGAACAGCGGTGGGGGAGGGGAACGTTGATGACCGTGCTAACTTAGCACATGGTACATACACTTTGTTCCCTCGTTTAAGGGGGGGAGGGGCAACTGAAGATTTATTTTAGGAAGATGTCTCACCAAGACCAATTAAACTGTGGTGAAGCTTAGCCTCCCCTCAGTGTTCTTACACCGGGCCTGATGAAGTGGCCACAATGCTCCGTAACGTGTTGATGGGGTCAGTTTCCTGGCGACTAGAAGGCCTTCAAGCTTCTACGGGGTGTCTCTGCTCAGTGTTTTCTGGGGGCGGACTTTCTCTACTACACCCCCCAACTCCTCTGACTAATAAGATTGATCCTCCGACGGGAGAAAAGGACACGTTCACACAGTTTTTTACCAATTTATTATTTCCACATGCAGGATATTAAATGTTACACTCATCAAACGTTTACACCACCCGACCCCCCCCCC